AGAGGTTCCATTTGACCCAGCTGTTCCCTTTTTCCATATTTTCCTGAAAGAATTAAAAGCATCATACCACAGTGATATGTGGACACTCATTTTTTTTTTTTTTTTTTTTTTTTTTTTCGAGTATCGGGAATTGAACTCATGACCTTGAGCTTGCCAGGCAGGCCCTATGCCGCTGAGCTAAATCCCCAGCTCTTTTGGGATGCTCATTTTTATAGCACAGTTTATAATAGTTAATTTTGGAAACATCCCCAAAGTCCGTCAAGTGATGAATGGATAAAGAAGATCTTTGAGCATGGGTGCAACCTGTCTTGAGATGGTAGCATTGTTAAGAATGGAAAGTGTGCCTTCTGGTATGCAGGGTAAGGGCCAGATAGATCTTTGTCAACTTGTAAAACCTGTAAGTGATGAAGCTTCCATAAGTGATGATGCTTCCATAAGTGATGATGCTTCCATAAGCGATGATAGCAACAGACTGTGTTCATGATTATGTCAGTGACATGAGTTTTAGTTCACCCACTTAAAAAAAGCAAACAAACTAGAAGAAAAAAGCCAAGTCCCTGGGCGGATTAAAAAATAAAGTCTAACAAGACATTGTATTGTTTGCTGGACGTCCAGCTACACACACCCAAAAAGGGATTAAAAATAGAGAACAAAAACAGATATGCATGCTTAATAATAAGAAAGTAGATAAAGAGTCTATTGACTTTGATAAAATTGCAAAAGATAATGAATTCATGACATTAATTAAACTTCTTGAGTGGGATCAAAAATATAGCACCAAGGCATTTTAAATAAAATACAGGATAAAAGTAGCAGTGGAGAAAGTCAGCTATCAACAAGAATACAATTATATGGAAAGATAGTAAATCATTATTAGCAAGAAACAGATAAAATGAGGCGTAAAGTTGTGAATGCAGATAATAAGAGTAAACAGACATATGTGGGATTCTTTTGCCAAAGCAGGAAGTGCCTGTATCCATGAAAAATTTTCTGGAACAAGAGAGGATATAAATAAAATGATACAACCTCCCAATTAAAAGATTACCCTTTGATTCAAATATACAAGTAAATGGACACTAAACAAAACCCCAAAGAAAATCTAAATAAACTTCAAAGAGCAGAGGCTTTTGGGGGCTTCAATTCTGCAGTAGACAGAGAAAAAAATTAGAAATTTCAGAAATTATAAACACATCCAAGAGCTCATTCTTTGAAAGTGAGCATAAAAACAATAACATTTACAAATCCCTGGAGAATTTAACTAAAAGTTAAAAAAAAAAAAGGGAAAGGAAGTACAAGCCAAATTAGAAATGAAAGAGAAATAAACACTGACAACAATGATAATGATAATAATAATAATATTTTTTTTATAGATTTCTCTGCTCCACTGTGTCTTCCCAGATTTGAAAATGCCAGTATTCCGTGGAGTGTCACGCTGTGCTGTGCCATCAGAGAGTGGTGGTTCTCGAAATATTGGGGCAAAGTGTGGAGACAGATGGGGGTTCCGGGGGGTTCCAGCTTCTGCGCTTATGCCCCAGCTGGATGGTGGCTGGTTTCTGGCTTTCCTGTTTTGTGCCGGGGTTCATTTTGAGTCAGTACTTCCCAAATGACAGAAAAGCATGAGCAGCGTTAGTATTTTCCTGTTTTCCTTGGGGTTGATTTATATTTTCTAACTCAAATAAATTAATATTCTACAACCTTTCTAAGAGCGTGCTTCTTATCACCCAGCATGTGGTTCTTATTGTCTTTCTGTAAGGGATGCTCTACCGTTTTGGTATCGCCAGCAGACACTCAATTGTATTTTTTAGCATGGTTGTGGCAGTTCGAACTAATGTACAAGACATTTTGAAAAAAAGGTAAACACTGAAAATGGAAAAACAAAACTGAAAACAGATTATTTGTGTAAAACCTGAAGATTAACTAGAAAAGCCAAAGTCGTCATATTTTTTAAGTAACAGCATTTACAAAACTATTAAATATAACATTATCTACAAGATAAGTAGTCAAAACTGGAGTAAATGTCTGAGTCTTCCCAGTCCCGAAGCAACAGGAAGTATCTTAGAGCACGTGGGGTAGTGGCATATAGGATAGAGTGAGCCTACCCCTTGCTACTGGAGTACAGACCCAAGATGGTTAAGTCTAGTGAGATGCAGCACTCCTGAGAAGGGAGGTGAGTTGGGGAAGCCACAGGGGCACCTTTCATGTTCTCTGTGGCTGTTTTCAGACTTCAGAATCCTGTAGGACTTCCTGGGTAGGGAATTCAGCCTGGGGATGCACAGACCTCAGCCAGAATCCAGCAGGTCCTGCAATGGGCTGGAATCTACTTTCAGCCCTGGAGTACCCGAGGCAGCTGTCTCCAGATGCCTGGGTGTGGTGTGGTGCTCACTTCTGAGGGCCTCATACCTGATATTCTGCTGAGAAAAAGTAGATGAGCTAGACTTGGGAACCCCATTATGATCCCATTAAGTACAGTGCTATGCTTGGGTTTGCCTGAGTCTGCTTCTGCAGACAGGGAGGTTTATAGTGTGTGTGTGTGTGTGTGTGTGTGTGTGTGTGTGTGTGGTGAACCTGTGCATGTGTACATATACAGGTGCACATATGGACACATGTGCAATGCATGACGGGCTTGTGCTTGTCTTCATCACTGAAAGCAACAGGGCCAGTGGCACAGGGTGTACTGAGGGGACCCTAACTCCTTCTCAGAGTGAGTGGTCCTGGTCTCAGTGGAAAGCACAGCTCCCACAGGCCATGCTCTCATCCCTGCAAGGGAAGGTGGCTCTTGGCCACCTAGGGCTCTGGTTGCTAGGAAACCATTCCCTTTGATTGTGTATGTGGAGCATGCCTGTGTTTGTCTTTGGCTCACAGAAGGACAAAATTCACCATGTGGCAACAGAGAAACGATATTGAAAACTACTTAAAAAATGAAAGAGGTGCCAAATGGCATTCTGGATTGCAGATGCTGCCCTTACTGCCAGAGCCCACAACTTGCAAAGGCAGCACCATTCCAGGGCTGCCCTAGCAAGCCTGGGTGTGGGCTCAGGCTGCATTCTGAAGTGCTCTCCTGCTCCCGGTGCACCCTGCCGTTACTCCTAGTTACCATGCCACACTGCCTCATCCTTGTGTCCCTGGGGCAGTGGTGCAGGTTTGGAGTGTGAGGCATGGAGCTTGAGGCTTCTTCTCTATTCTGCTTCTCTCTCTCTCTCTCTCTCTCTCTCTCTCTCTCTCTCCCTCTCTCTCTCTCTGTCTCTGTCTCTCGTCTCCTGACCCAGGTGTCTGCTCAGAAAGCTTGAGCCACCCTTTAGTATTTGGAGTAGCAAGGTATTGGTGGCTCCCTCATGCTTGGTGCTTTCATTCTGCATTCATTTCATCCCTTGGGAGGCAGATGATGCTAAGGAGACAGGCAACTGCTCTCCATGTAGAGGTTGTATATCCTGCCTGTCTGTGACCCCGTAAGCAGAGGCTGGATCCGGGAGCCGTGGTGGCCAGCTGGGGTGGCCCACAAGGGCTGTGCAGGAGAAAATCAGGGACTTCTTGCCATACTGAAGGAAGGAGAGTTGGCCCTGGTGCCCATTGCTTCTTCTGCTACAAGCCTGCAGCCATCCATTTGTGTCACAACCTTCTAGTCTCTGGTGCCCTGGTCCATGCCAGGCTTTGGCTGTGGTTGACATGTGACTTTGAACTCTCCACCTCAAGGCCTCTTGTTACCACTTGACAGCTCACTTGACTGACCCTGCCAAGTGTATCAGGTCGATACATACAAGCTTGATCGTCTCTCTGCCGCCTCATTGGCTGGCTGCTGGCTGCTGGCTGCTGGCTGCTGGCTGCTACCGCCCCAGCCTTTCAGCAAGAATCTGGAAGGCAGCAAGACTGAGGGGAGGGCTGAGAACTTTCCGATTTTTTTTTTTAATTTAGGGGCAAATATGAGTATTTATTTGAAATAAGGTAAAACAACTCACCACAGATTTCAAAAATAAATAATATTAGAAAATGCTTTAAAAGTCCTTAATTCAGAAAAATGATATTTTGATGAATTAATAGACTGGTGTGTTTCTAGAAGGCTTTCTCCCTATTTTTTTTGCATACATGTGGACTGCATCTTCACATGACAAGAATATATTTTTGAACAAATTCACTAGAGTACATAGAATGGTAGTCCAATGTTTTAGCATTGTTGATTAAAGTTTGTGTTTACTAGTGATAGTTTATTTTAACTGGATGATGGGTAATACCATGTACATTTGTTTTCTTCAGAATTCTTCGGCTAACAAGCATACTCGAAGATAAAATATGGGCAAACAGACTCCCCTTGTCCTGGAGCCACTGCTGACAGACTCACATTTTGTCTTGCTCCTTTCATGGGCACAAACCTCCCCTCCAGCCCCCCTAGGCAGGTGGAGGTGCGAATGCTGAGGGCCACTGAACATGAGGGAGTATTCTCATGCATCACAATTATGGAAACACCTGTGCTAAATATCTTTGTGCAGGTCGGTTGTGCGATTTCCTGGGGAGTTCAGTTGCCTCCGAATTCCTCATCGCTCCACTGTCAACAAGCCGCAGGTGTGCACGGCATGAGCAGCCCACGCTGTGATTTGGAGGCTTGTGCTGACAGATCTGCATCCAGGATGCATTCGTCCTCTGAGTGAAGAGCACCCCACACATATCAGGGTATTTACAGAGGGCTCGGAGGAGATTTGTCATTTTAGATCCCCCTCTTGGTGTCCTGAGAAGTGAGAGGATGGGGCTTTGCCGGCACTTTGGTGGGGCTGCGGCTGACTGAGATGATACTCCGTGGAAAATGGAGAACTAAACTCTGCTCCTCAAGAAGCTTTTGACCAAGGGGACGGCCAGCAGAGAAGAGACTGGCCAGAGACTGAACACTGGTGACATATGGGCACACTTGGCCTGTGGACATGATTTGTGCTATTTTAAAGAGTTTTGTGATCATTACTAGTATTAAAGGTCAAGAACGTTCACCTATTAAATCTGGATTTCTGTCTTCTTTTGGACAAACACAATACACAGCCCAGGGCCCACATCCTTGTTTACAACACAAGTATGGGCCACTCCTCTGGAAGGAAAGAGCCACTCTGGGATGCTTCCTGTGCCACCAGCCCTTACAGGGCCCTTGCAGGCCGTCAAGTGGGTGGCAGGTGGAGAGCACTGTACGTACACACAGGGAGGCTTGCAGACACGTGGCATCCTCCTGGGGTCGATAGACCTGAGCATCGCCTAACACAGACCGCCCTTGAATTTTGTTTCGGTTCTGTGCAGAAAAGAGTTCCAGAGTATTTCTTTAGGCTGGAAATACAATATTGGGAAGTTCCTACTGGCAGCATTCTAGAATGAGATCTAGGTGCTTCTGACTTTCTAGTTGAGTAGTCAAACCAGGTGGTGTTCTTTGTGAACCTCTGCTAGCTGCACTGCCCCTCATTATTATTGCTGGAGAACAAAAGATATGTTGCTTTGGGATAGTGCTTCTGTGGGAGAAAGCTGAACCAGCATCCAGAACCAGGGCCTCTGAGTTGGAACTAGGCTTCATCCAGCTCTGCATCCCCTAGTGAGCTGGGGTGTGGGGAGGGGATGTTGCTGCAGCACCCTTCTCTGGTTAGCTTCTAGCATCTCTTTCTGAACAAACCTATGAGATCAGTTCTACCCCTTTTCATTGATGGTAGCAGAGAGGTTTTTTTGCTCAGAATTGCCACACAGATGCTTTGTCAGTGCAGGGCTTTATGAATAAAATAATATTGCCCTTCAGAAGTCCAGATTAGTCCATTTTCATGCAGAAAGAGCTTCTTGCTTGGAAGTAGATAGTTCTGTGAGACCCCAGTCTTCAACAGCGTCTACTGCATTTCTTCTCTGGACCAACCAACACCTCTGTTGGGTGAAGGCTTGCTCCTGTGTTGGCCGCAGGGTCCTAGGTTTGAAGAGTGAATGTGTGCTTATTCTGACGGGACATTGGCCAGGTGGCCACCTCTTATTCCCTTGCTCCTTTTCTGTGGTGATAATCCCTCTGCACCCAAGCTTTTTTTTCCTATACTGAGTACTCCTGACTTCCTCCCTCTCTTAGGAGCTATATGATTAGGTGAATGTACACACATTACTCACAGCTTGGACTTCAAGAGTTACCCACACAAGAAGCTTACAAGTCCATAAGGGGGATAAACACTTTATACTATCATATAATTTAATGCTAAGAACAAACCTAAGAAGTTAGTACTTCCTCTTTTTCTTCGTAGAGAGAGAGAGGTTCATTGGCCTAAATCACTTGCTAGTAAGTGGTTGAGGTAGAATTCAAATAAGCAGTATGATTTCTGGAGAAGTTTTAAACATTGGATGCAAACAGTTTGACATTCATCCACTTGGGAGGAGGTGTCCCTCCCACTCTTACATCCTGGCAGGCTGACTGTGATTACCTTGACTATAATGTGGTTATAAAATCTGAGGCTTTGTGATGTCAAAAAATATGGGATAAAAGGCCATGTAGCTTCCCATTGGTTCTTTGGGGATATTTTCTATGGGAATGTGGAAACAGCGATCAATACTTTCCTTTAGGCCCCAGACTCCATTCTTTTCTATCAAGGAGACTCTGTGTGGGTAACACTCTCCTGGACCATCCCACTATTACTGGGTGACACTATTCAACACCTTACAGGGAAATCAGTCAATCAATCAACCAATCAATCAATCCC